ACATACCGTTTCTGGCAAAATAATCTAACAAGAGTCACAAATTCTTAAAAAATTAAAAAATGAAAAATAATATTAATATTAATCTCAAATCATCATTCTTTAAAATTCTATATAAAAGAATTGCGCAAAAATCCTTTACAGTTTTAAAATATTTGCTTCAAAGCAATATTTATAATAATCTAAATATTATATATATAATATTTTTAAATATATATATATATATATATATATATATGAGCTGTGATAGCTCAGTGTCCGGGCGCTCGCCTTTAATTCAATATACTCGAGCAACCTGCGTTCAATCCCCGGTGCCGGCACCAATGAAGTTTTTAACTTTAAGTGCTGACTTATCACGTGCTCCGCGGTGAAGGAAAACGTCGTGAGGAAACCTGCATATTTTCGAAATAATAACAAAAAATATATATTTCGAAGCTATGTGAAGTCCGCCAATCCGCAGTTGGGCCGCGTGGTGGACTATGCCCTGATACCCTCTGTATAGAGGAGGCCTTTGTCCAGCAGTGGGACATGTATAGGCTGTGTTACTTTACTTACTTTAAAAATAAATAAGATGTATAAAACGGTACTTAATTAAATAATAACTTACTTTTTTTGTGAAAAATGAGCAGGTAAGCAAATACAAATGTTTAAAAATGTTGGCCCTGGTTACCTCACTCGCCGTATGAAAAGCGAAGCGTAATACTTCCACTTCACGCCGGTTTTTTATACACACAGTTAACACGAAGTCGCAGAAATACGTATAGAGTTTAAGTTTAGTTTCCAAATTTATTCTCACCGTTTCTGATATGATTTAATAGCGAGTTCGTTGACAGAATATTATTGCACTTTTTCTTTATTTATGCATGGGTAAAGTGATGGTTATGTGTGTATGTGAATGTGAGTGTGTGAATATTTTATTTAACAAAACGTTACTTATTATAACGTTTTGTATTTTGTGAAAACATCATAATTATTATTTTTAATTCGTACGTCATTTTTAATCGCGGCATGGACAATCCTCCAAGACTCCTAAATACACTTTTAACTTACTTAAGTCTACTTTAAAATATGGAAATTGAAACGAAATTAAGAAGGTAAAATTAAATTAAAGACTGAATTTAAATATAATTATTTTCGCAGAAACAACTTTTTGGGAGTTATTTAGGAAATAAAGTTCTACTTTGCATTTGCATCCAAATGGAGTCCATTTCGTCGCGAACTAAAATACAGAATGATGCTTCTTAGCAACTTCAAAACTATAATTTGCGGCGTAAGCCAATTACTGAAATAAAGCGTCACAGCCCATCAGGCTTGCATGTTTACCAACCTGAGCGTGTTTCGACCAGATAACGTTGGTAAATCCCACCCACTTCCACTTAACGCCTTAATGTTTGAATTTATACTTGTTTGCTGGATAAGTCACATTTACATAATTAATATATTTAACCGGCTTAATGATAGTTTTAATTTTTTTTCCAGAGGAAATTGCAAAACGGCAATCGGCATACATATAAAGCGTCTAGTCACCAGGTTGCATACGTTTAACTTGAAAATAGGCTATTTGAGATAGATTATCACTCTATAAAAAGTATCTCTGTTTTAAATATATCATGTAGGTCATTCATATTGAATCAATACACATTTTAGCGATTTACTAATTAAGTTTAAACATAAAACCAGTCAGACTAAGATTTATCTGACTTCTTTTTGGCAGATGAAGGTCGAGAGATTAGATCGTAAGTATGTACTATTTAAAGTATATTAAATAGTTTCAATATATAAAGGTAGAACGTCTGCGTTGTACATCAATGCAATTAGTAAAATGATAGTAGGTTCATACTCGTACCTACTAAGGACATCTTTTATTACCTTATTCACAAATTGCTTTATCAAAGATTTATTTAGTTAGACCGGCTTTATTGTTCGACAAATTGAATTAGTTTCTTCAAACGACAACATTGAAAATTTTTATATTAATGTTCAAAACATTAATATATAAACTTTGTTTCACTGTCTTGTTTTTGTAATAAAACTTATTTGATTCTGCTTGAATATTTATTGTCATAACAATCTCACATGAATATACTTAATGCGAATGATGTAAAACCAGAACTGCTTCCAACGTAAGTTTACTTAGAAAATAAACATTTCTCTGATATATTCGTATATTAGATGAGGGATCTCGTACCACCCCATTTAATGTCAGGCGCGGAGCAAGATTTAAATTTTGGACGTGGGTGGGGTTGTAATCATTCAAAGGTTTTGACGACTTGAATGGCGTAGTGGTTAGTTTACCTGCCTCCTGCGCCAGAGGGTGTGGGTTCGATCCCCACTAGTGGAAAAATATTGTGTGATGAACATAGTGTTTTTCTAGTGTCTGGGTATTTATATATCTATAATATGTATTTATTTACAAAAGAAAAGTATATTTAAGTATGTTTATCAGTTTTCTAGTACCCATAGTACAAGCGTTGCTTAGTTTGGGACTAGAAAATGTTGTGTAAAAATGTGTCAAAAAAAAAAGAAATTAACTTTCGAATTAGTCATTTCATTGTAGAAAAATGAGATGAAAACAAGATTTAAGCAAGGAACCAAGTTATACTTTTTTAATTAACTCAGCATCCGATATTGGGGATGGGGCGGTTATGACTCCAAAGAACCTTCCCTATATCTGCACCTGGTTAACTTGTTTGTGTAGTTATGAAACCAAAAGACCCAAGAATTGTTAGCGTTGATGTCTAAAAGAGGCTACGCAAACAAAGTAGAGCTGCAAGCCAAACTTTTCTCTATAAAGTATTAACACTTTTGGTTGCATCTCTAGAAGTGTGACATCTTGTTGTGTTTTCATCTAACTCTGTCAAGATGTCTTAGCCTTAGTTAGAAGTAAAGTTAATGTAACTTTTTTAAAAGTCATAAGTCATTTTACGTACAGCTGTTAAACAATCAGTTCTTTGGGAAAATTTAGTTAAATTAATATGTGGGCGTACAGAACAATAGCTGAGCATTTAAATTATTCTGTTAAAAATTTTTTAATGCAATTGATCATTTTAAAACGTTCGTGTTGCTAAAAAAGACCCATGCTAGAAAAAGATGAAAAATGAAGTTTTTTCGACTGATGACCCGAGAAACATCCCGTCAAGATTGATAAGCCGTAGATTAGTGGAAGCTAAATTGTTTGGATGAATCTCTCGAAAGGTACCGCTTCTTACCAAACAAGACCGAGAGAAGTGATTATTATTCGATAAAATATATTTTAATAGGACGGTACGAGAATGGAAGTGCTATTTTTAGATGAAATAAAAATAACTGGTAAATTCCGATGTAAAGCTGTTGTGAAAACGATGTTAGACGTAAACAATGCTTTTAATCATAAATACACAAGGAGTATAGTCAAGGACGGTGGCGGTAACATTTAAGTTTGGGGGTGTTTTTCCGGATGTGGAGAACCGTTCGGTAGATTAATTGAAGGTACAATGAATCAATGGCAATACAAAAATATCTTAGAGCACACAATGATTCCCTACTCGGACGATCATTTTTGCTAGTAACCTGGTCGTTGCAGTGCTGGTATTGAAAATAAGTGATACGCCATTAAATATTAATTGCAACTATTGGTAGGCTGTGGATAGTAGCTATTTCTATATAAATAACAATACTTATTACTAATACTTAAAAAATATTGTTTTTTACACTTTTTTGTTGTTATTTTTAATTAGTTAACCATTATTGTTTATACCTTAAAACTGATTTAAATGTTTGTCCGTAATGTAATATTGAAACTGCACTTGTGTAATGGCATTTATGTTGTTTTTCTAATAGATGATAAATCGTTGATCATATTGTTGTCCTATTTATTGTTTAATTTTAAAATAGAACGATTGCGGTGAAGTATCTAAATAATGTCAAGGACCGTTGGTAGTGTTTCTAATTATACAACCACCACTGTATATATTAAAAAAATTCCGCCCCAATGTTTATAAAATGCAATATAACAGTAAGACTATTTGCTGCGTACACTAAAATACTAAAACTTAAAGTACTAATAAAATTAAACCATCAGTGTGAGACGCTTATGACCCTGAAGTCAAGTTAGGATTTTTTTCAACAAATCCATATTTTTCACTTGATAATTATCGATACTTTTAAAAATTATATGATAAATATCGATATATTTTTTTTACTTACCCATCCCTATTTAAAAAAACCTTTGGTTACCCATCAAAAACGGTACCTTAGAGCGACATCTATCACAAAAAATAAACAATAGATGAATGATATGAATACTTATAACGAATATTATTTGTACTTGTTTGTATAGATGGCGCTTTCGTAAAAAATGTACTTTTTATTATAACTTTCGTAACAGTTACGCCGTATATATTTAAGAACTGTGAACTGTAAATAGTGGAACCGTGCAAAATATTTGAAAAGTACAAGTAATCGAAGGGTCATATAATTATGTATAACTACATATTTATCTATTACAGGTATTTTACTTTGACGAGTAACTTTTAAATGTAATGAATTGTCAATAGATGGCATTATCATACGTTTTTGTATAAGATTAACATATTATTCTATATTCGTTGTTGAAAACAAAATGCTTAGTATTGCTATCTCCAATAATTCCTTCCCTAAAATTAATTTCCTATTTAAATAAAAGAAACTTCTTTGACACATTATTTTATAAGAGAGAGTTGATTTTTAATTTAAAATTATAGGAAGGCTCATGGGAAATAAAACTCTTTTGTGTTATGACATCAACACTGTACCGATAGAGTGTTTCTCTATGATGTTTCAAAATGGCTTCTTGTAGTAATGTCTTAGCGAGATTTTATTTTCTTTGTTTACCATAAAATATGTTTTTCCTTTACATTTATTGACTATAAAGTGACATTATAAAATGTTTATTGATACAGCTATCCTAAACTATTGTTTGGATTCATATGAGTGCGTGATTTGACATAAAACAAGTGGTACTTGTTTCACCTTGTAAAGAGAAAATGGGGAACTGTTTTAGTAGCACAGGAGAAAAGGATTCTAAAAGTAAGAATGAAAGAACGAATCCACATGAAGAAGACCCAAGACCATTCCACACCCCAGTGCCTACACCGCCCCCGGATCCAATAAGATCTACCGTAAATCAAGGGCCTGATACGAGTGAAATCCCTCCCACTCGTATATTCGTGGCCCTGTATGATTATGACGCTAGAACCGATGAAGATCTAAGCTTTAGAAAGGGAGAACACCTGGAAATACTCAACGATACTCAAGGTGATTGGTGGTTAGCTAGAAGCAAGAAAACCAAACAAGAAGGCTACATTCCCTCAAACTATGTCGCCCGCCTGCAGTCGATAGAGGCCGAACCGTGAGTAATCATATCTGTTTTTATGCAATCTTTTCAACAGTGAGTGGTTCCTGTGCGATTTCTTTTCCTGTACGTGTTCCTTTTAACTACACATGCGTTTCATTTGAATTTATTTATTCAATTGAACACTCCTGTAGTTGATAATAAATATCTGCATAATAGTCCCGTTATAATATTGTTTTTACTAATATGAAAAATTTAATTTAGTATTCAATTCATTTACAAAAACTAATATTCTTGTACTACATTTTTTTTAACCATGACAATGTTCAATTATGCACATATCACGTAAGTTTAGTAAGATAACATTATTGATAAGACTAAAGAAAATGATTCATTCATTTATCAAGTGAAAGTTTATTCCACGGTCTGAAAGGGAAGTTCATTGTAACTTTTAAGTAAGACAATTATATATAGTTAGTAAACAATAACACTATACAAAAAGTATTCTACTATAATTACTATTGAATGTAATTGTTTATATCGAACATAACCATTATTCAACGTTCATTTCAACATTATTCTCTTATTGATAATTATAAAATTTAAATTTACTTTATAACCAGAAATGACAATGAATGTAAAATACTTTGTTAATAATAGAATGGCACAGTAAATGTTACATTATATTAATATATAGGCACATAAGAATATTAGTAAAAATTTCTTAAGTTTGGTGTGCTCTCATTGTGGATTTATCCCTTTACAGAATAGACTTTGCCCAATAGTGGGGCATATAAAGACACTGCAATAAACTACAATAGTTGTATATTGCTTAGTTAAAAGTCTGTCCTAGTGGTAGGCTGCCAGACCTACAATTTACAGTTGTGGATTTGAAAATTCATACATGCAGACCAAGGATGTAGTGACTGCATAAAATGAGTTTTTTTTTTTAGACAAACATGTCGATTTTAATGAATTTCAGAGAAAATATAATTAAGCATTAATAAAATTTAAAGCAAGACAGTGGTGCCTTTGAGAATGATGGTATGAATTGAAGATAAAGCAATGATTTATTATTAAGCATAGCTTAATGCATTGCTGCAATTTTAAATTCATGAACCTATAATTGCATGATATTTATCAATGTTGATTATTATGTTGTTGAAAAACAAGTGATGTAATAATTTATTAATTTGTATTTGAACTTATGTTCAGCACTTGGTAAGTACAGGCACCTATTTACTTAAACCTTTTTCAAATCATAATTTACTTAAAGGAAAATCATTATATATATATCTTAATTATTAACAAGATTTTGTATGAAATGCTTGTCTTTTAAATCAGCATACACAATTTTGACTAAATTCTATTACAATTACTAAATCTAAATAGAGTGTGATAAAGTTATGCAGCAGTGTCTAGAGTTGAAAAGACTTGTCCAGAGAACCACAGCCTAAGGTTTTTAAAGAGGTTTTTTTTACTTTTGCATTTTTTTCTTGTTAGTGAGGTAATCAGGACTCACTCTGTAAAAAGTTGACATTGCCAGAATCATCAAGCTATCCTTGACATTAAAAATTGAATTGAAATATAAAAAGTTAGCAATAGAACTGCAAACATACAGATCTTGTGAGTACCACCATGTGGTGCATTAATATTCTTAATTTTAAAAAATGCCTTAATTAAATTAAAAATGCCGGTGGACTAGACGTGTTCTTAAGTGAAGATGGCATTTACGAAGTTTTAACGAAACTTAGCGTGGGACGTACTCAGTTAAGGTTGAGTAACAACTTTCGTAAAAAATTTTTTTCTTTTTTTATGTGAAAAGTTGCCAAGCGAGCAGACGGTTCACCTAATGTTAAGTGAATACCGCCGCCCATGGACATCTGCTACACCCGAGGGTTGCAGATGCGTTGACAATCTTTTGAAAATTGGGCTCCGACTACCTCACTCACCAGACGAAATGCGAAAGTGTTATACTTCTACTTTACACCGTCTTCTGTGAGGTCGTGGTACTTACTCGGAAGAGCCAGCCCATTCGTGCAACAGCCGAGGCTGCTGCGTGGCCCTACCACCGTTGAAATGATATTAAGGGCGCAATATTGAGTCATATAGCATTCGCTAGAAGAGAGCTACGTCCAGCAGTCGACAAACGCTCTGATAATTATGATCAGCCAAACAATAACTGATAAATTTGATGAGCTAATAACCAGCTGTTATAGATCAGTTTTGATTGTCAGAAGACGCACATGCGCCTGTTTTTAAACGGTTATTGTCATTTACATAGTAAACTTGATTTTTAAGATCATACGATGGGACGTCAAAAAATTCGCGGAATGAGGGAGATAGGGAGTCGAATTAAATATAAAATTATCGAATTATAAATATATATATATATATATATACGGAGCTTTTTCTTTTGGAAATAAATAATAATCACTACGGGCTCGGTCTGGACTGTACGGGTGCGTGTTACAGTTATTCGAAGCCGCATCGATGAATAACAGCAATCGCAACTCGACTGGTGTGCACGGGTGCGTTTTCGTGCAAAAGGACCACGCCTTTTCCCGATTTTCCTCTTCTTTTTCCCTTGATAGACTCCTTTAAGCGTTCGAATAAGAAAGCGTAGAATTAGCCCGTTATAGTGACACCTTTATAATCAAGCAGTAAGATACCTTCTGAATTCCAAAACATCGTCGCCATGATTTTCCCAGCCGATTGCGATACCCTGTATTTTGTTGCGAGTGGGTGTGCCTTACTTATGTCACTGCATCAACTCCTGTTTTGACTCAGGTTCATAGTGGTGAATTCAAGTTTCATCTCCAGTAACGATCTGGGCCATAACTTCTTCTTTATTCTCTCCACAGAGCTCCAAAGACTGGCGATAGCACTCAACGCGCGCGCGTTTTTGAAGCGGCGTAAGCATTCTCGGATCTCATCTTGCACTGACCTTAGTCATGTCAAGATTATTACATAGGATGGTTGAAATGGTCGTTTCAGATACTGTAACCATTGCGGCTAGCTCCTTCTTCTTCAGTCGGGCGTCTTCCAAAACAATTTTTCTATTTTCTCGACGATTTCTGGAGTGGTGGCCCCAATTGGCCATCCGGAGCATGGTCATCTTTAATGAATTCCCTGCCTTGCTTAAAAAGGCCATGATATTTGAGAACCATGGTTTTTTCTAGGGGCATAGCCCCCGTAAACTGCTAACATCTCTTGGAAAATGGTTTGAGGTGATTCTCCTTGCTTGGTAAGGAACTTAATGTCGGCGCGGTATTCAATTTTCTCCATAGTGACTGATTTCTTCACGATTGAATTGTTCACTGGTCAATACCTCAAAGGTTAATGACCCGATTAGGTTAAAATTTGGTATTTATACCTTTAATGAGTAGTTCTACTAGTGACCACCTGGATTAATTAAACTACCCCCACCAATCCCTTCATTCTGTGAACTTTTTGACCACCCCTCGTATATAAGCTTTGATTCATTACCAAAAACTTACAATTATTACGAAATGGAACTTTACTCTTTGGACAATATGCAAAATCATAAACACACAATAGCAGGGCTTGAATGAAAAATAAATTATATTCTAGTTTTCCTATATTTGTATTCATCGTAACCTTCTTCTTTCTTCTACCCTTATCCCACACTAGGTTGGGTCGGCACAACATGTCGTTTCCTTCCGCTTTCCTCTATCAGCCCTTTCACGGACATATTCTTCGCACAATCGATAAAAATCTTTCTCGATCTTTCTATAGCTTTACATCCTCCGACCACATTCATGCTCATCAGTCTTCTAATTTACTACTACTATTACTATTTCTAATTTTCTCAGTCACTAGTGCCACTTTCAAGTGTACCTTAATATAACTTTATTAAATGAAACTAGTTTACGGATTGTATCGCGTTTTTATTTTGATTTGAAATTCCCGACGTTACGAACCCTTTCAAAATCAAGAAGTCAAGACCTAAAGTTTTTTTTTTTACATAATCCGTTTTATAACAGAAACTCGGTGGATCTATCCATTCGTACAAGTAGGAATCTTCACAATAACAAAATTTAGTCAATCTGTAGAAATGGTAAACACGACTTAACACTTTTCGATGAGGTCGATAGTATAATTTTTCTTTAGTACTTGGCGTAGTGCTAAGCAAATTTGCTTCACAAATCAATAGCAATAAAGTCCGTTATCGCATAAAGAAAACGGTACAATTGCATAAGGTTTTATTAGTTCAGTTATTGACTAATAGGGCCAAGTGTCTCTGAGCGGATCCGACAAACCAGAGGTTCCCAATACGTCGTACCGACAGTTCAATCGTGAAGTAGGTTCTAGACGGTAGCAAAAAACTGTCTAATTTGCAGCGACCGCCAAAACCAATTTTCAATAACTGCATCCAGGTATTTGAAATATGTAAATTTTCAATTTGAAATGAAACGCGGTAAAAATCTTCCAGCATAATTTCTTGTATTTATGCGATTGCACATTATAAATTAAACTAATTTTACGGATTTATCGCGTTTATTTTTAATTTTAATTCCCGACGTTTCGAACCATTTACAGCGTTCATGGTCACGGGACAGACTGAGGTGTTAGAGGTCTAATTGTCATAGTTAACCCGGGCTACCGTCAGTTTTTGAATTATTAATTTTGTGTCCGGTCTATGCTATCTATAATAATTAATCTATTTTAATTCATTTATATCTTCCAGCATAGTTTCATTAAAAAACTCGTTGTATTAACCAAATATGAATATTACTCTTCTCTTTCCAACGTGAAACAGGCTTATGAAATCAAGTGGAGGCAAGAAACAAAATAAGATCGTTTATACAAAAATGTTGGCGACCGCTGCAATGAACGAGTTATATCATTTTGTGACCGGGCGACAGATGTCGGTCCGGGCGCACTTTCACACCGCACAGAGCGCTTACACCTCATTTAGATTAGAACGCCATTACAATAATAATTACAAACAGTTTACCACGTTTGCAACTGTTGCGCAATCCGAATTAGAGCCGCCGTTGTCGCGCTAGAAAATTCGCAAGCGAAAGTAGGCAC